TATGTGATGCATTTTTCTCATAAATTAATTATTACACACAAATATGTGTGTGCATTGTTATGTTTTGTATATTATTATGTTATTTACTTAAATGACAACTAAATTAATTATTGTCTGCAAAATAATAGTCAATAAATCGCGCAAACGCTATTAATTATTAATAGGGAATTATCTTCATTGAACAAGTTTTGAATTTTTTATACGTTTTTAAATTTCACTATGCTTAAACATTTAAATAACAGATTTTATTTCAATAGAATTTATGTTAATGCATAATCGGTCGTAATAGATATTAATTTGAATTTGAATATTACAGAAACAATTGACTATACCGGAGCGCTCGCTACTGCAGTGGGATGGGGTCGAACAGGAGAGACCAAGCCGGTAAGTAACGAATTGCGAAAAGTCAATCTGCCAATCTTATCACAAGAGGAATGCGATCAAGCTGGATATGCAAAGGATCGTATCACTGAAAATATGTTTTGTGCCGGCTACATACTACATCCGGAGGGAGCGGTAGGACGAGACGCTTGTTTTGTAAGTGTTAATCACAGTTTGAAATAAAAATAAATGACACTTTTGAATTAAAGATATCTTTAGTGAACATAAAAAACATGTGCACATATGCATGTGTGCAGGTGTGTGTAAATTATTTACAATATTAACGGAGGATCGTCTTTTTTTTTTAAGATCTCGTTAATAAAGTTTCTAGTATTCAACATTATATGTAAATTAATATATGATTTAATTTATTACATTACCGTATTAATTATCAATAATAAACAATAATTTAAAAATGTCTTTTTCAAAGAATAAAATATATTATTTTTTTATATATTATTTCTGAATATATTTTTATTTTCGTTTTAAGGGCGACAGTGGTGGTCCTTTACACGTTAAAGGAATTTACGGACAGCTTGAAGTAGTAGGTACGTATTTAATAATAATAAATTAAAATGTTATTTTATACACAGGGTGCCCCACGTAACTGTGATCACGATTTTTCCGGCATTTCCAATGATCTGACAAAAATTGGTTTGGACAAAAGTTAATCAATTTTCAATCGGCTACAAATTGCAATATTATTAAAAATTTGCAAAATACTCTTTTTTAGAAAAAAATGACAAGGTCACCCTAATTTTTTTAAATGGCACTACATATTTTTTACTTCATAATATTGTAACTGTGGCGTCAAGACGAGTTTAATAACCTGCTATACTATGATCTTGAGAAGATCTTACAGTTATGAGATTAATGAACGGAAACGTTTTCGTGAAAAATTATTTTATTTGTATTAAATTTTTTGTATGGACTATTCTACAGTAGAAAAAGATTTTCGTATCCATCCGTATCTGTACGGATTCGCTGCTTTAAATGTTCCATATTTTGAATTGATATCACGTAGACTATTGATTGAAATGATCAGACAGAAAAAAATCTAGTGGTGACAAATCGAGGGACCAAGGTGGCCAAGAAATTGGTCCGTAAGTATCCAACCAACGTTCTCCGTATTTTGAATTTAGATATTGAACAACAATCCGAACGTTATGAGATGGACAACCATCTTGTTGGAAATAAATACATTGCACATCATTCGGAAGCACTTGCAACAATGTTGGAAGTTGAGAACGAAGAAAATTTAAGTAAGTTTGGGCTGTCAAATTCTGTGAATAAAAATAAGATTCAATCAGATGACCGTTTACCAGACCACACCAAACATTCACTGTAACTTTTTGTTGAAAATTATGTTCTCGGAACCAATGGGGATTATCCTTTGACCAAAAGTGATGATTATGATGCTTAATTACATCATTATTTGAGAACTTACATTCATCTGTCTATAGCATATTCTGTAATATTTCAGGATTACTTTTATATGTGACAAACTAGCCATGCTATAAAATTTAGACGTTGTGAATCAGTTATACCTAAATGTTATACTTTGATTATTTTGTAAGGATGATAATGATTTTGTTTTATCATCTTATGAACAGAACTCTTAGATAAATCAATTTCAGTAACAACTGCACGAATGGAAGTATGCGGATTTTCTTCTAAATATGCTAAGAATATTGTCTGCAGTTGTACTTAAAAGTGATTTGTTCCTTTTCTTCTTTTCAAATTCTCCGTAATTTCTTAAATTCTTTTTAATGTTATAAAACATTGTTGCACACGGATGGTGTCTCTGTGAGTATCTTGTGGCATACAGAATTGCAGCTTCACGTGCATTCCTTTTATAATACATTGACTGAATATTTTGACACCGGTTACAATATTATGTATATAAATAAAAAATATGTAGTGCCATTTAAAAAAATTAAGATGATCTTGATTTTTTTCTTAAAAAAAGTAGTTTGCAAATTTGTAATATCGCAATTTGTAGCCAATTGAAAACTGATTAACTTTTATCCAAATTAATTTTTGTCAGATCGGAAAAATCGTGATCACAATTATGTGCGATACCCTGTATTTATAATTTCAAACTTTTGAAATTTAATTTTAAAACTAAAATAATTTTTTTGTCAGTATAGTTAAACAAAGAAGTGCAGCCGTCTTATATTTATAAAGACCAAATAAAAAAATATATTTTTATGTTTCTTTTTAGGTCTAGTTTCTTGGGGACGTGGTTGTGGAAGACCACATTTCCCTGGAATATTTACGAAACTAACAAATTATATTGGATGGCTTAAAGATCACTTAAACGACGAATGTGTTTGTCCTCCACCGCATCGGCAATAACATAAATTTGTTACTTATTGTTATTTTGTGAAAATTACGCGTAATTATTAGAGAAACAGTAAATGTTGATTTTTATTTTAATATTTATTTGATCATTATATAAGTTCATGAAAGAACAGACAGTAATAAGGAAAAGAATGTTCTGATATTATATCTAACTGTTTTCTTAGAATCATCGTAACATTACTGTATATTTTCGCGCCATTAATTTATTGTAACTATTAATATGTATATATATATATAATATTATGTATGTGTGTATATATATATATGTATATATATGTATATATATATGTAATGTTACATGCATCTAGTCCACTTATACGGGACCTACAGTTTTAAAACGGTTCCAAACAGTCTATTAGAAAAGATTGTCATGGCCAAGATGTTTTTGGTGGTTTGCCATTGCCTTCCGAGAGGTACGACCAAATAAAATTTGATATATGTGTATTCTGGGTGTAATGGGATTTGAATTTGTATCTTTGGCATAAAGAGCAGCCATGTAACTCTCTATGTCATGATCGCCATACACGCCAAAGTATATATAATAAAATATTTATGTACTGCGACATTATGCTACAAATGTCCTGTAAAGTAAAAGAATGTATAGTAATAAAAATATAATTAATTTTTATGTCCATAATAATATTATATTGTATATAAAATGTGTGTTAGATTTACAAGTAATATATTCGGTTATAAATTGGAAAGACTTAAATCTTATTGTGTTTTATTCTTTTCCTTCTCTTTCCATAATTTTAATTTAAAAAGTTACAAAATAACAATAATAAGAATAACAATTAATGTCAAAGAACTCCTTGATATTTAACAATATAAAGACTAAAATGAAAGAGAAATGGAGTCAGCGCGGTAATCGTTGCGCGAGTATAATAATGGAAATATTTATATGTCCATTTTTAATAAACTAAAGTATAACAATATAAAAAGTATAAGTATCAATATAATTCTAATTTAGTACAAGTAGTGCATCAACCATGGTGCCAACATCACAATGAGGTTCTTTAGCTTCATCCCAGTTTATAGATCAGAAAGAAACAAGAATAAAGTGAAGCGAATTGATACAACTTGTGCGTACACATACAGTAGTCAACCAATACAATATAATATAATATAATATTAAGTTTGACAATTGGATGAAGTAATCAAGAGTGATCCAAATAATTTTTTCGTCAAATGAAAAGAATAAAATGTAACAGTTGTTCACTCTTCAGTCACACGCAGGCAAATAATTTTATTATGTTGAGGTGTATTATAAGTATATAACACGAATAGTTATATAACACGATATCTTCATACGTTTATAAAAGTATGTCTATAATTATTAAGCATTGAAAACGTATCTTTATTTATAACCCATAATATGAATTAATTATAAAATATGGTTATAATATGGAAATGAAAATAATAAAATATTATTATTAGACGTATAACATTTTAGTCATAAAGGTGTATATGAAAAAGTTACAGCGATTCCGTGTTACATTAACATTTATTACAGACAGTATAAATCTAACTAATTCTATTCAGATATTTAAATCACTTTAAGTTAAAAAGTTTACTTTTCTATTATATAAAACAGAAATTTTCTACTTTAAAATACATTTTTCACTTTTCAACTTTTCACGCGAAGCGACTCTCACTCCACCTCATGCACATATTAAAAAACTAAATAATGTAAAATAAACATTTTTTATAAACATTAAACAAACGTTTAAAAAAAATTTCAAGAACTTTTATTTCAAACAAATAATTAATATAAAATAAACATTTAAAAAAATGTTTATTCAAACCATTATTTCAAATAAAAAATGAATTTAAAATAAACATTAAATAAACGTTAAATGAATGTATGTATGTATGTACATATATTTGTTTTTTCCCTTAGGATTATATATTATTTACAATAGCACTTATACTAACTTACACACTAACTTACTTTAATTTAATCTAATCTACAATTATTCCTCTCTCCCTACTCGCTCGCTCCGCTACTCTCTCTGCCTATTCTCTATGGACTTTCAGTTTACATTTTTTTTATATGCTTCCTGCCAACTACTTTCTCCTTCATTCCAGCTCCTGCATTCCTCCCACACATGCTCCCAAGTCTCCCTTTGCCCTCCGCACAACCGACACATCCTCCTATTCTCTTCCTCCCAATAGTTTTATTTATTCTCTTCCTCTTCTTTCCATCATCTCATTTCCAAGCCTCAACTTTGCTATCCTCTTGCCTACCTACCTCTTTCCTCCTTTATAGATTCATATCATCTATTAAATCTCGATTTCCTTATCCGTTCCCATCTTTCATCCCTCTGCCTGATCTTTTCCCTCTCTTCTAATTCCTCGTACTTTCTGTCTCTCTCCATTCCCTGTCTCTCCCATTCCTCTATCCTTAAAAAAGTCCCCTCTCCCTCTCCCACTTCGTTACGTCTCTTCCCTCTAGCGCCCTTTCTCTTATTTCTTTCCTACATGTCTGCGTTAATTCGCTTCCCTTTCCCATATCCAATCTTTCTTTAAAATCCCATGCCCTCTTCCCCGCTCTGTTTTTCATCATTTCCCTCTGCATTTCTTCTCTTACTAAATACCCCGGTATCCTTTTTCAAGCACCCATTAAGAATCTTAAGAATCTTTCCCGCACTTTTTCTATCCCCTCTCTTTCTTTCCCATATCTCCACTCCATACCCCATCACTGTCTATACTAATGTGTCAAACATGTGTCCACACCCTTCTTCTCCAACTTCCGCCAAATCTCCTCTTCCCTATCCCCCATTTTGTTCTTCGGCTATGACTGTTCTCCGACGCTATTCGGCTCGCGGTGAGTGCATATATTTCCCCCGTTTTCATTAGGAAGCTTATCTCCATTCTTCGATCTTAGCTTTAGCCTCATAATATTTTAAGGTGGCAAAGAGTATATAAACTAGAAGTAATACTGCAGCACATTACTTCTAAAACCACAGTAAAGTTGAGAAAGTCATGGCAAGTCCAAAAGATTACAGCGCGTCTAATAAAGTTCAAAGATGTAGAATATTGGCTATAATTGAAGAGTTTGCCGATAATCTAGTGAAAATAAGTGGAAAGTGTATGGACATCGGTTGCGGTCCTGGAGATACAACAAAGGAACTTTTGTTACCGAGTATAAACTTCAATGGACAAATAATTGGTAAAAAAATAATAAATTGTAAAATTATAATATGACAAAAATCGACATTATAAATAATTATTCAATTAAATGCTTTTGCTAAGGTATGGATATTTCGGAGAGCATGATTAAATATGCAAATGATACATTTAAAGACGAAAAACGGCTTCAATTCGACACATTAAATATTGAAACTAAAAATTTACCTAAGAAATATATTTCACAATTTAATCATGCATTTTCGTTTCACACTTTACACTGGTGCAACGATATCCAGTAAGTAATATACTATATAAAATATAATTTAATCTAAAATATATTTAACTTTTAAATAATAAAAATTAAAAGGATTTCCGGAATTCAAATAAGTCAAATAAAAAATAGAGCTATACCCCGTTAAAAATTCTTGTAAATCTTTTGTACTAAATCTTAAAAGAGTTGTACATGATCAATCAAGATTACTAAATAGACGTACATGATCATAAAAAAATCTTATATAATTTATTTATGAATCTTACTAGTAATTTTTAATGACCTTAGGAATCTGGAATGAATCGTACATAACTATTTATATCATAAAAAAAAGATCTTACATTAGCCTTATAAGAAAGTCTTTAAAAAAAATTTTTTTTTAAGTAGTTTCTTTACAGGATCAACCAAGAATATGGTATTAAGGGGAGATTCTAGTCTAGAGCTCCAAAATTTATATATTTTTTATCAATTTTTTTTTATAAGGAAAGGAAAGAGATATCAAAATAATGCTTTTTGCATTTCAATATACAAAAAATTTTTTTTATTTTTAGAAATGTAGAAAATTGCGACTGTAGCATACGGATGCATCAAAGCGTGCGACACGTACGTGGCTAATTAGCGGAAAATCTTGATTGTCGACAATTTATCTGAGACAAAAAATCAATGAAATTATTAAAATATATTAAATTTGTGGGGCCACATAAACCTCATTTCATTTGAAAAATTTGAAAATTTACAGAATGGCAACCATTTGAAATTAAGTGTCAATTTTCACGAACTTTTTTTCATTTCCAACCTGTTCAAAAAAATAGTTATTTTGGAAAATTTATGACATTTCTAAGTTCATGGCCTCATAAAAATTGTCTATTTTACGTGGGAAAAAAAACTTCATGTCAATCAGATGATTGATTGAAGCTGTAGGATTTCCCGCCAGTTTGAAAAACGTGAATTCGAAAAAAATGCGTTTATAGTTTTTTTTTATGATAACAATATTTATTTTTTTGTTAACAATTTTTTGCTTAATTTAATCAGCGATTCCTGGCCCTAATAACAATTTCCCCTCCTGTTCGAAGAAAAAATTTTGCTGCATTTGAGCCCCCCCTTTTCTTTCGATTCTTGCTTGTTTTGCGCGTAATATCGTTAAGTTCATTTAATTTTCGATCGATGCAAAATCCAGTTCAACAAGTCATAAATTGCTTTAAAATTTTGAATATTGCAAAATTCTTTTAAAGACATACTCTACACACTTTAGAGATGCAAAAAATGTAAAAAAAAAATCGATTTTCATCTTCCAAAAAATCTCCCCTTAATTATGTATGATTCCTAAGTGTTACATGAAAGATCATGTATCTTAAAAAACATACAGTTATACATATAGTTACACGAAATAATTTATCTTTCAAGTTGGAATCTAGCATGAATCGTACACGATAATTTATATAGCAATGAAAAGATTTTAATTGCTAATTTAGCCTAATAAGATACTCTTAAGAAATAATTTCTTTACATGATCGCTCCAGAGTAATGAACGTATTAATCATCTCAGTAAACAAAATGGAATTATTGAATAAACAGAAACTGGATTAAATATATAAAACGAAAAAGAATTAAGAAAAATTAAAAAATTCATTAGAATATTAAAGATGAATGAATAAAAGATTGAAACGTAAATTATCCCTGTGTTAATGAACTGATAAATTATAATTTCGCTATAATGGCGTAGGCATTTTATGCTCCTTTCCTAAATTAAGTTTGATTTAATCGAGAAGCTGTTATTCAATTTATGTAAAAAAAATTTCATTTTAGCTAAAATGAATTCTTTTAAATCCTACTCAACTCCTTGCTTATCCCAACCCATTTTACAATATTTACTGGGATACGGGCAGTAAATCACACAAAATTCCAATTGTTTCAGTGTTCTTGTAATATTTTCATAATGACATTCCAGTTATATTCATGCAAAGTTTAACCTGCGCGCAAGATTCATATAACATGCGTGTAAGAGTCATGTAACATGTTTATAAGATTCATATAACATGGATGTAAGATTCATGCAAGATTTTTAATTTACCTATAAATATTATATGCGATATATATTTTTATACGATCTTGTATATTTTTGTCCGAAATGAATCTTGGAAGATCATACAAGAATTTTTCTTGTAAGAATTTGCAGCAGAGTAAGTATCAATTCGATTGTAAGCACAATCAACTTAATAAGAACTCATTTTAATTAGTGACATATACATAGAGTAGCACAAATCGCAGTTATTGCAATTCTTATTGATTAAAATTCTTAATTCTTATTGCCTAAAATATAAATAAACTTTTTAATCAAACTTAAATTAATTATTTCTTTCAATTTATATTTATGCATGTGCGTATGTATCAAATTTAGAATAGAACTAATCAAATTCTCTGTTTCATTTAACAGACAAGTCTTAGAAAATATTTATCAAATGCTACAACCTGATGGAACTATGCTTGTGCATCTCATAATAGCATCTCATAATGTGTATGACGTTCTCAGAATTTTGGCGTGGGACACTCGTTTTGCATCATATATGCCTGTAATATATTATTAAAATATAATTATAATTTAATTTGTTTTTTAATTATTTTTAATATTTTTATTACATGTTTTATAAAAATTCCTTTTAATTTAATTTTAAATTTTTAGTCATTAATTATTACTCTTAATTTTATAAAGGAAGCTATGAAAAATATTTCGCCATATCAAGAATCAAAAAATCCTCGCAAAGAGTTGAAAGAATTACTTAAAAATATCCGATTTACAGTTTATCATTGCAGTCTTCGAGAGGTCAGCTATAGCGATAAAAAATCAGAATACTTAGTCAGTAAGTCATTTAAAAATATATAAAAAGTAATTTTCTGTTATAAAATTATTAGTTTCTTAAAAGATCTTCCATATTTTTCATTTATTTATAATTTATAATATTAACTAAGTTTTTATTATATACATATGGATATAATAGAATAAGACTTTTCAAAAATTAACAAATTAAAGTACCAAAAATTTCCGGGAAGTAAAAGTTAACGCGATAGTTAGTGCACTAGTATAATATTAGACA